CTTCTGTTCTATAAGTTAATGCAGTGCTCTACGGTGAAGAATGTTTTACATCAAATTCCTGTTTGTGCCTCTTTTCTTCCTCTGGTTCTTTCCCAGCACCAGGTTCACTCTGGGCCAGGCATGGTGGCTCACGCCTGTAATCTCAGCATTTTTGGAGGCCAAGGTGGGCAGATCACCTGAGGTCAGAAGTTCCAGACCAGCCTGGCCAACATGGTGAAACCGCGTCTCTACTAAAAATACACAAACACAAAAACACACACAAATTAGCTGGATGTGGGGGTGGGTGCCTGTAATCTCAACTACTCAGGAGGCTGAGGCAGGAGAATCGCTTGAATCCAGGAGGTAGAAGTTGCAGTGAGCCAAGATCACGCAATTGCACTCCAGCCTGGGCAACAAGAGAGATACTCTGTCTCAAATAAATAAACAAATAAATAATAAAATAAAGTAATAATAACAAAATAAAATTTTAAAAAATATTCACTCTGGTTGGACAAAACTCTATGTTGGAAATCCCACCCAGTCCTGTCTTTTTTCCACTGGAATTTATACTCCAAAATTATCTCTCCCTTTCTTCTTACCATCTAGCTCCCATCTAGTCCCAAAGGAAAACCTTTAAGCTATTTAAACTAGAAGCTGGCCAACCATTGCCTTTGGACCAAATCCAACCCACCATGTTAATATAAACCTTTATGGGAAATGGCTATGTTTATTCACTTATGTATTATTTGTGGATAATTCTGTGCTTTCACAGTAAAGATGAGTAGTTACAACAAAGTTCATCTGTCTTACAGCTTAAAATATGTATTATGTGGCTATTTATGGAAAAGTCTTCTGACCTCCTGCTCTAATTAAATCATATTATGATATTAATGACAAATGTTTAATGTTTTTGTGTCCTTTTAGAGGCAATTGCATTTATATAACAAATGCATTAAAATATAATTTATATACCATAAATTTCATCCTTTTAAATGTAAAAGTTTCACAGTTCAGAGGTTTTTAGTAGATTCACAGAACTGCAAAACCATCAGCACCATTTAATTTTAGACCATTTTAATCACCCCAAAAAGAAACCCTGTACACATTAACAGTCCCTCCCCAGTTACTGACAACTACTAATCTATTTTCTGTCTCTATATTTTGCCATTTCTGGACATTCTGTATAAATTTAATTATACAGTATGTGAATTTTGTGTCTGGTTTCTTTCACTTAGTACAATATTTTCAAGGTTCGGCCAGGCACAGTGGCTCATGCCTATAATCCCAGCACTTTGGGAGGCCGAGGCGGGTGGATTACGAGGTCAAGAGATTGAGACCATCCTGGTCAACATGGTGAAACCCTGTCTCTACTAAACATACAAAAAAATTAGCCGAGCATGGTGGTGTGCGCCTGTAGTCCCAGCTACTCGGGAGGCTGAGGCAGGAGAATTGCTTGAATCCAGGAGGCAGAGGCTGCAGTGAGCCAAGATCGTGCCATTGCACTCCAGTCTGGGTAACAAGAGCAAAACTCTGTCTCAAAAAATATATATATATTTTTCAAGGTTCATCCTTGTTGTATCATGTATCAGAACTCCTTTCCTTTTATTGTTGGATAATAGTCCATTATATGGAAATACACATAGTGCTTATTGATTTATCAGTTGATGGGCATTGGTGTTGTTTTCACTTTTTGACTGTTATATATAATGCTGGTATGAACATTAGCATACAAGTTTCTGTGTGACTATTTAAATAAAACTTCTTTTATGTCTATACCTAGGAGTAGAATTGTTGTAAACTACCAAAGAATTGAAGGCATGTCCCAACACACACATAGTTTGCAACTCTTCCTTAGCCTTTACATCTGCTTGCACAGAGCCTCCAGATTAGTCAGAGGTGAGAGATTAGGGATTTCTCAGGACTTCCTGGATATGTGCACAGTCCTGTATGTGTGTGTCCTTCTAGATCCCCAGGAGTATAGCAGAGATATTCAAAATTCCTCCCCATTATGTACATGTATATTTCATTTCTCAGTTTTTCTTTCTTTCTTTTTTTAAATTAGCTTCTTGTCTGCCACCAGTATTACTACCTCAGGCAGCCACAGAGTTAAACCATTGCTGCTGACGGTTTTGACAAAACATCCTGGGGATAGGACATTTTCAGTCACTGAGTTAGTTTGAATAAGGCTACGCATTGTGAACAGCACTTATTCCAGACAAGGCAAATAGTGACAATTTGGGAGACTGGGACTATGTGGACAGGTCAGAACATACTCTGCATCTTCCAGTGGCTGCTAGGCTTTTACAACTATCACAGCTTCAAGGCTGCTTGTTTTCAAGGCCATAGTAGAACTTGCGGAGGAATGGGAGCTGGGAAGAGAGCAGGTTAAAATGCCACAAAGCTCACTGTTCTTACCAAGATTCAGCTGATTTTCTTGAATAAATGCTCCTTGGATTGTTTCAAGCCTGTGGTTAATTTCCAGAGTTCTCAAAAAATTTTCACAGTTTTTGCCAGTGTTCTGATAGCTTTAATGGAGGTGCAGATTTTCCCAGGTCTTCACTCCATCATTCTGGAAGTGCTTCTCCACACTTTATTTTTAAAGCATGCTTCAGGAGGCCAATGCGTTCATTAAAATTAATGGCTTTCTAATTCTGAACTTTTAAGAAATTTGAATCTAAAGCCAGAGATACTGGGGAATTCATATGTTACTCCATAGACTATGGACAATTTTAGATATATGTAAGATTTTCTCTAATTCTAAGGCATTGCAGAGCAATTACAGAAGATGGAGGATTGGTCTCAGTGAAGAATAGGGCAGGTTAAAGTACCCCAGCACTTTTATAGAGGACTATTTAAATACTGCAGTGAAAGTAGAAAATGGAGGGTCAGAAGCTTGGCTGCTAACTTAGATGCTACATTTATTCAGAGTGGCTGGGTATGGTGTGTACGTAAAGACTGTGGATTGTTCCAAGCCATCCATAGTCTAGCCCTGTGCGTACCACAGCTTGATCTGACTAACTAGAGAATACATCCTTGCGTTACTACTTATTGTCTGATCTATCACTTCCTATCTGGTTATCAGTGTCTTTATCTTCAAAAACTGAGAAAATTAGACCAGAGCTTGTCTAGGTTAAAATTCTACATTTCTAACACCTAAAGTTATGAAGCATCAAATAAACTGTAATTTTCTAAAGCAGGAAAATATGCTAATGTATTTGCAGATTTTCAATGATGTTTTGTTACTTTTGACTCTCAAGTTACTTATAATTTAACAGGAAACCTTATCTCCAATGACTTCTGGTTGGTAAATATATTAGTAGGATAATTATTTAGACCAAATCTTTTACTTAGAAATAATCAGATGTAATTTCTATTGCTGTTATAAAGCCACACTAGGTTACTCTTTATTGCATATAACATCTTTCTTAACAGTAGCCTGAAAAACTCCCACTAAATTACCTTTGTTCTGATTCTTCTAAATTATAGAAATTTTAAAATAAAAATAATGGAGTTTCTTTTTGGAAATCCCACCACATCTGTTATTACCAAAAATCTAAAAGATTATACTGATAAAAATTAGTAAACAATTAGTATGTTAGTGAACATACAAAAACTGGTTTATACCATTCTTAGGATTGCTACTCATGGCCTAAAGTACATTCTCAATTTAGGACCCTCATTCAGCCCCTTTCTAAGGGTTCCTGATTACTGTGTTGTAAAAGGAAGTAGAGTCACAGTTCTTTTCAACTTTGTATGTGCTCAGCTGTGACATATTTGTTATTTTCTTCTTAATAGTCTTAAATAGAGTCATGGAAGGTGAAAACTGACAAAGACCATAAATATCATCTTGTCCAGCCCTTCTCGCCCTCTCCCCTCCCCATTTTATAAATGAAGACACCAAGGTGCCTCTTAAAGTTTCTATATTTTAATGTTTGTTTGAAACATTTGAAAATTAATTAGCTAATGATGCAGGTAGTCTTTAAGTTATATGATTCTAACCTGAATTTTATGTTTCTTTGTTTTCATTTGTTAATATAAAATGAAAAATGGAAATAAACTATAATAATAAAAATCAATAATAAAAAAATTATTATCATTTTAAATAATCCTTTCCCTTGCTTCTCTCCTTTATGCTAATAATGAAGAATTAATATTTTGGGCTTTTAGCAGATGGATTTTAGGCTACTGTATTTTTCCTATGCTATGTGTCTTGGCAATCTAGGGACCAGTTCTAACATTTTGCTGATAAGGAAACTCTTGATAAGATTTTAACACTGCATTGATTGACCATTTGTAAAGAAAGAAGAAAGAAAGGAAAGAAGGAAAAAGGAAGGAAAAATATTACCTGAAATTCCATCAGTCATTGATAATCACCATTAACATTATAGAGTACATCTTTTAATTATTTTATATATGTGTGTAGATATATATTTTTAATAAAAAATAAGTTATCATTCTCTTTTCTAACCTACTTTTATTTTTACTTCACAATATACGACTTTAGGCTGCATTGGTGGTATAGTGGTGAGCATAGCTGCCTTCCACAATATATGGTTTTACTGTATAGATAGAAATACTATAGCTACTTATACAAATCACAATTATTGGACATTGATTGATTTTAATTTTTCCTTCTATCCTTTGTATATTTATAATTAATTAGAAAAAGTCCTATAGAAAGGAATATGTGAGTCAACTGATAAGTAAAATGTTGAAGCTTTGACATTATTGCCGGGTTGTCATCTAAGGTCATACAATTTATATTCTCATCAGAAGAGTCCAAAACTACCAATAAGTATATGTACTGCTATCTTATTGCCATTCCTTTTATTACCAAGAAGAAGAAACTTAAAAAAAAATGTTTTATAGGCTGGTTATCAATGATATGATTTCTTGGTTAAAAGCAAGCTCTCCTTTCCTGTAGCTTTAAACTAGATTATTATGAAACTGAATTCTAGCTGAGCAAGGCACAACTGATTTGCTCGGTTCTGCTAACCATAATATGCCATCTGATTTTACAGTCTCAATGTGCACGGAGTACGAGCTAGAGGTCATACGATGCTTGAGATTGGCACTGACCGATGCCGTCAAGGACATTGTACAGCAGATAGTATCTGTGATGAGCTCTAGGAGAAACTGTGAGACAAACCTAAATAAGCACAGTGTTCCTGATTGTTTGCTTGAGAGCATGCCAAAAGAATGGAATTACTAGTCCAAAGGAAACTACAAGGAAAGAATCAAGCAAAAGTAAGTATACTTGTTTCTCTTTAAGAAAATACACCTGAAGAAGCAATTTTCTAGGATATGCAATCAAGTAAAATTCCAAAAGTTATAAGAATCATGAATTATGTTAATCTTCCTTCCACTAAGTATATTTGGGACCCTTAATTTTATTTTTATTTTTACTATGAGCTACATGATCAAGGAAACTAGAATGGAAGATTATTCAAATGGTCTTCTTCCTTATTTAACTACCAGTTCAGGATTTTCTGTTATATTTTGTGTTCAGGCTAATATTCACAGATGAGTCACATAATTTTGACTACTTTTCTTAAAATCTGTTGAGTAACTTAAAATCCACACTTTAGAGAAGATTGCTCTGATATTCCATTTAATTATTCTTTAAGTTTTTTCCCTGCAAACACTAATTATTACCTTCTTTTGTTAAAACACCTACATTTATAGATTTTAGGTCAAAAATAGCACCCAGTTTGGTAAGTACATGTATTTTTCTGACAGGGTATTTTTCCCCCCCAGTACCTCTGGTTCTAAATTGAGTGCATTGTTCCTATTCAGAATAATGCACCCACGAAGTGTACTTAAGAATCATCAGTTACCTACATTATTCGTTTATTTTATTAGTCAAGTCCTCTCTTCTTAGTTTCTCCCTACCTAGATGTTTCCACTTTTCCAGAATTTCACAAGATTCCTTTGAATCGATATTGTGTACCTGTATTCATGAATCTTCTTTTGATTTTTTAAAATAAAACTTTTTTCTTTCATATTCATCCGTAAAGAATATTTTCACTACTTCTAAGAAAACTTTCTCTAGCTTTTCTGGAGAAACTAGAACTAGAGAAAGTTTCCTTAGAGTTGGTGAAAATATTTTTTCTCCAACTCTAAGGAAACTGTCAACAATAAAATACTCCAGCTGAACTCACTAAAGTCAACTGAAGGGTCTAGGCTTTCTTTCACTCTTCTCCATGGAGATCCTAAATAATGTGACCTTATGTTACAAACTCAAATCAATTATCTATCTGTGACCTTTCATAGTAATGCTTTAATTCTGTCCAAGCCTTATTAAACTCCCTTTGAATCTAGTAAAGCCATTTAATTGAAGTAGGAAAATGTCACCTTTTCATTACTTAAGTTCTTTCTTTTCTAAGAGTTGTTGCCATCTCTCTTTTGTTTTAGCTTTTGGATATTTCATACATTTTGAACAATTCAGGAGGCATGATTTATAGTTAACATATCATGCCATATGAGTAGCACCATTTTGCTTGTGGCTTTCAAGTCATTCTATTCAAGAACAATTTTGCTTTTTCTAAGCACTTTGGAATTCCTCCATACCATTGCAAAGAACCTCTTATTCCAAAACATGCTTACTTGTAGATACCAATTGTTAAGAGTTTTTCTTACTAAATAATAGTTTTCATAAAATGTTCACTAAGAGAAATACAACATAAAAACAACCAGGAAGGAATGTCAGATCCCATGAATATGTAAAAGAAAGTGATGGGAGAAAGTGACTTTATAAACCATTTTATGCATTCTAAGAGGATATGACAATAAGAGATTGCCATTGTTCTTCTTTACCACCGTTTGAAATGCTAGGGAACTTTTAGATTGGTACTTCTTAAATTTTATTTTCACTACAGAATATGAGACAAAGAATGTGTACATGCTGGACATTAAGTCATTTATTAATTTCATTATTTATTCAATAGAAATTTATTAAGTGAGAGACTACTACATACCACGCACTGTATTTCAGACCAGGGATACATCTAAGTACAGTATCTCCTCTTGGTACCAGAAGACTACTGTAACTGTTTCAAAATGGGTACAAATAAGAGATGTATAATATTTTTGATATATAAGAAGAAAGAAAGAAATGAAACTTCACTAAAATTTCACATGGGATTGTCACTGGAGACCTTTCTTGGTCTGTGAGTGAGCCAGTGTGTGTTGAGGACAATATGTGAGGAAGCTTGAGGGAAGAGCAGGGGTGCCATGCTCTTGGGAAGAGGACATGGGCAGGGTGACCTTATTCCTCCTTTAGCTTTCAGCTCTTCTCAGCCACATTGTAAAACAATGATGATTTGATTGGATTTGGCCAAAAAAAAAAAAAAAAGAAAGAAAAAAGAATTGTGGGGAACTATTTGAAATTTGAAATATGGCTTCCCATACATTTTGTTAAATGTGAATCCCTCCTATGCCAGTATTCAGCCTTGAGATATTAGCTAGTTTGGAGTCATCTTAATAAACAAAAATTTTCTACACTAAGTATCCAAAACATGAAGATAAACTTCTGTATTTTTTTCCTACCATGTTTTAATTTAGTGATATATAATCATGGTTCTTACAAAATTTGTCTAACTAATTATAAACATTTAAAGGCCTTTTAAAAAATCTAAATTACTGAAAGACAAATAGTCACAAACTAAAATGCATTTCTTTATTTCTTTATTGGCAAATACTGAGACATTAAAAAAACACTGAAGATTTAAAGAAATAAATATTACAATAAAGATTACAGTGTAGATTTACCAGAGAGTTGAATGGAAGTCTGGATGGTTCTGACATAGCTCTGCTTTTAGATATTTGTTTCATTATGTTTCAAAGAACAAATACACAAAGAACTAGTTGTTTTGTTTTGTTTCTTTGATAAAAATTAAATGAAAGAGATACCTGAGAAGATATTGTCTCAGCAGTAAATTACTTTTTAAATGAAAATAATCCTTTATGGGAAAACTTTTAGAGTAATTGTTTTAATGGAAACAGTGAGTTCTAGAGAGAGGAAACAGAAGTAGCAAGTAGCATTTATGAAAATGTGTCCATGCCATTGGTCACATGCAGAAACAGCATGTTGAGAAAGAAATTGATGGCAGAAATACACAAAGTACTATAAGAAGTCATTAGTATAATGTGTAAAAACCAGGCCTATTGGTTTCTTAAGAACCAGTGTCACCTACAAAAAGAATTTAGAATTAGGACTTTCTAACGTGATGTAAAATATAGCCAATGGAGAGTTTCGGTGACTCTTGAATATTTTTCTTAAAAATAGAAAAATAAAATATTTTCCCATTTGTTTGCAAGAACAATGAATTGACATAATAAATGATGGATATTTATTAGTCAAATTTCAACAACAGCCTTCACCTATTTGGTAGTTAACACTGAAAAATAAATGCTATGGTTTTGTGGGCACAGCTAAGCATAGACTTGTTTCATGTTGACCTATATGTGTTTGTGTAGTGGCTTTTTCACCTATTACAGCCATGAAAATCTGATCTTGAAACAAACTGAACTTAGAACTTGACCTTTGTATGATGAAGTGTTAAGCCCAGATTTTAAAAATAATAAAGCATATTAAATAACATTATCCTCATTCAACAAATTGTTACTGAACTTTTCTACCATTACGAAATAAGATTGTAAAAATTAATTTTGACATTATTTTCTTTACCTCATTTATTGTAAATTTTCTTTTTGCATGTTTTATCAACCACAAATATATTATTACAGTAGTACATTACAGAAAAGAAGAAATGACAAATACATCAATTTACATATATTGCATTTGTCCTAAGACATACATTTTCTTCATACTTTATCAGCTCTAAAATTGGATGACACTTACAATATATTATGTAATATATGGCTTAGACAGAAATCGACTTATTTAAATAAAGACAAAGACAAATGTGTAGCAGTCTTAAAAGATCCTTCTCTGGTATGTTGTTGACATCATCATAGACACAGAGCTCCTGAGATTAGTAGACTGGATTTATTAATTTGTTATCAGCCTAAAGGTTCTGATTGAAATTTGCCTTAAGTGTTAACTAAATAGCTGGGGATTTGAGTACCTGTAGTCTTCAGAGTTTATAAAATTTCAGTAGAGTGTAGGTATGACGAAGAAAATTGGTAATCTTTACTTAGTATCTACTTAGATTGTCAAATGTTTGCTCAGTATCTGTAGTTAAACCCTCTTCAAGACAGAGGGAATATAAGGTACAATCTTTCAAGTTAAGACCTGACAGCAGACTAGGGACTATGAGACACAAATATATAAAGAGCAATGAGACATTTCAAATCACTTAAGAACACTAAAGAAGATTTGCTTTATCTGTATTTTAAGCCTCACCTAAACACATTCATTTGAATAAAAAGAAAACATTTATTGAGTAACTTTTTTAATCAGGTGCTGAACTAGGTGCTTTCACATTTACATCCTATTTAATGCAACAGCCTTAGGAGATTATTCAAATATGTGTTGGACCTAGTTTTTACAGATTTATAAAGACTGCTCCAATTAATTTTTAAAATGATTCTTAAGTTGTCATGGATTGCAGAGGAGTCACTAGATTAGACATATTTTCCATGAGCTTCATACTTTTTTGGAACAGAGTGACTTTTTAAATGTTACACATATCTTCAGAAAATGTTCACATTGTTCTGTTAGTTTTGTTCAGCAAAAACAGTAAAGAGTGTTTTACCAAAGAACTCAAAGCTACTCTCTTTTGGCTTCCCATTCAGTTTTAATGTCCAAATTCAATTATGTATGTAGTAGATTAAAACACTGTCTGGCTCTGTGGGATAATCAAGGAGCGAAGAGCTTTGTTTCCCATGCTTTGGAGTTTATAGGCTAGCCATAAGGACAACTCATGAAGATAGAACATGAATAATAATAGATGATAATATAAAAATGACAGAACATAGCCCATTATGGGCCTAATTACCAAAATGGTCATATAGATAATATATTCAAATACATTCACAAGATGGACTTTGAACTAAGAGTTGAAGATTATTTGTGAACCATGAAGACAGAGGGCATTCTATTGAGAGTAATGAGATACTCAGAAGCCTGAAAGCAAAGAGGATAAAGCATGTTAAAGGTCTTAAAGAGAAGGGTCCTAGAAACAGGCTGAGGCTAGATTGTGGAGTATTTTGACAGCAAGGCTCAGGAGACTGATCTCATAACAGTGGTAAGTAGCTAAAATTTTCATAGCAGAGAAATTGGATAATAAAGTTCATAGGGATGAATTCAGTTTTACAGTGCGGGGGAAGGGCTGGACATAGCCTGGAGAAGGGAGATGAGTTAGGAGAATACTTCCATAGTCCAGGCACCATTTGTGAAGAAGCGCTTGATCTAGGTCAGTAACCTCACCTGGCCCCAGCAACAAGATGTCAGCAATAAAGGGGTAGAACTATCTGATCACTGATTAGATATGAAAGATCAACAGGAACATTTAACAGGAAGGAAGAAAGGGAGGGAGGAGGAAATATGGGAGGGAGAAGGGCCAAGCTAGTTTGGAAGACAATGAATTTACTTTTAGTTGTATTGAGTTGACAGTGATGAGGACACAGATGTGGAATGCTTAACAGAAAGCTGGAGTTACAATTCTGGAGAAAGGCCAAGACTTTGATCTTGGAATCGTGTAGAAGAGTGGTTCCCAACCAGACACAGCTTTGCTCCCAGGGGACATTTGGCAATGCCTGAAGACATTTTGGTTGTCACCACTGAGGGGGATGCTACTGACATCTAGTGGGTGGAGGCCATAGATTCAGCTAAACACCCTACAGCTCCTCACAACAAAGGATCATCCAGCCCAGGATGGCGATAGTGCTGAAGTTGAGAAACCCTGATCTAGAGAAGAAGAACTAAGACATTTTTAAGAGAAATAGCACCAAACAAGGGAGAACATGTAGAATCATCAACCAAAAAGCTAAGGACTTCTTAGCAAAAACCCACATCTAGGAGGTGTTAGTAGAAAGTAGAAATAGCATAAGACACAAAGAAGCAAAGAGGAGAGATAGAGGCAAGCAGGAACCAATTTGCTGACTCATTCATTCAGCAAATATTTATTGACAACTATTATGTAAGAGGTACTAAGTGCTGGGGATACAGGAATGCCTCCCAGAGCTTACAGTTTAGAAGAGGGTGACAGACAGTGTGGAGGAAAAGGACATAATTTATAGTTGATGGGGAGTGCTATAATAAAGGCAATAAAAAGGGGATCCCCAAAAGAGACGGTCTTGGGGCTGTGATGGGAAGGGTGAAAATGAACCAAGATGAGATGATGAGATGAGATGAGATGAGATGAGATGAGATGAGATAAGACGGTGAGGCAAGGCTTTCTGAGGAGGTGACATTTGGGTTGAGAACTGAAAGGAGAGAAACCATTCCTGAGAAGAGCTGGAATGATTCTGTCATGGATTCCAAGGGAGGAGCAGAAGGGCTTAAGAGGTAGTCGGAAGTATCAAAGCCTACAAAGCTGCCCAGCTGGGGACCTTTGCATTTGTTAATTAGGAGGCAATCTGGGTTCTTGAAAGCTGCAGTCTTGAAAGATAAGAATATAAATTAAAACTCTAAATATTCTAATCTTCATTTTTGAGGGAAAAAAATACAGATTTGTGATTTGGGGGAATTTTAGATAGGACTGCCAGAGACCCCTGTTTGAGTTCTGTTGGAATATGTCAAGCACTTGATCTTCTTGCCAATTTTCTCCACAAAAATTAGGCATCCCTATACAACACAAAACCATGCAATGATTGAATGCAACTGCTAATATTAATCATACCTTTTCTTTTCTTCCCCAGGCTTCACAAGGCTTGCTGCTCAGGCAGTATCTATTGTAATCAGCAAGTTACCTACGGTGATTGCATGTTTGTCTCCCCCAATTAAATACTTCTTTTTTCTGTCTGAGAGAAAAATGTCAAAAAACTTTGTTGAATTGAAGAAAGCTGGCCTGCTTGTCTGGAACTTGATTGTAATTATATGTCGGATATTTGAGGACGGAAACACTGTGGAACTTTTAACAGGTGCCTCCCTTGACAGATGGAGTAAAGAAAAACTGGGTTTAATTTGTATGTGTTTGGAAAGCATCATGGGAGACCAGACAAGTATCCCTAATCAAATGATCCAAAAGGTCATACAGAGCATTGAGCAGCAGAAGCCCAACTGGATTGAATGCCAATTGTTGAAAGCAAGGAAACTGAGCACTGAATGGTAAAGAGATGTTTTTCTTTCACTAGATTTCATCCAATGCTTTCATAATAATAAAATCACCAATAAAAAACAATATATTGTCAGATGGGCAGCAATAGTATTTTGCTAAATTCATGGGAGCTTTGATGAATATAAAAAAAGATAAGAATCCCATTAAAAATTGGATGGTTGCACATTTCTTGTCTTCTTAAAATGTGAACCCCATTGACACACTGGAACATTATACTTGTTTGGTCACCGTCTTAAGGTTTCTGATTAAAAGAGTGGTAGTTAAACCCAGGAGAATTTAGTTTCACTTCTTTTCAGTGTGCAAACAGGTATCTAGTGGATAGCCTGGAGCATTTTGTAAATGGATTGGGCATGGAGATTAAATTAAGAAGGAATTAATGGATATAAAAGGCTTTTTATTGCTTTCTGTGTACCTGATTGTCAAAAAGGTACACATTTTTCATCTGGTAATGTAAGAATCCCAGAGGGCAACTAGGGCATATCACACTCCAGCTATAAACACACCCAGCTGTTTCTGTATGAAAATGTCAGCCTGCTCATAGGTTTGTCACTAAGAGCTAAGTGATTTGTGGTACTGCAAAGATTTTTAAGGGTCCCTGATGAATTTAAATATGTACATAGAGTCCTCCTGTCTTAAAATTAGTCTTCAGGTATAGAACTACATGATATTGATAAAGGAATTCCAGCTCACATGGTCTATACATCACTGTCAGCCTGTTTTAAAAACACCCCCACACACTGCCCCTCATTCTTTTAAAATATATTCATGTTGCTAGCAGATACTAATATACCTTTCTGCCTGAAATGACTAAAAGTCACCTGAAATATGGTTACTCTTACTGGAACATGGTAGTGATAAAGAGGCCAGGCTTTGGAATCAGATGGGCAAGTACAAATCCCTCATAAATGGGTCATCTTGTTCAAGTTATTGAATCTCAGTTTCAATGATGGTACCATACTGAGAGAATTGTTTTGAAAAATTAAATAACATTCGTAGAATTCTTAGCATTAAGCTTGGAACTAGTAAGCATTTATTATGTATAAACTCTATTAAAATATATTGCATTCACTGGTTAGTATTATGTTAATCTATAAGACTTTATATTAATCAAAATGGAGAAAAGTAGGTAATCATGATTTTCCTGGTCTCATCATACTGATTTCTAGAAATGTACTTCTGGAGTGTCCCATAGGTGGGAATAACAATAGCAGTCAGGCAAATGCTTAATAACATTGACAGTGACCTTCTTAATCCTTATGTTTGCATTCAATACTAATTTACAGGCTTTAATCCAATGACTAAAAAATTAAGGCCACATGTCATTAACCATGGCAATGCTTATAAAGGGGAGAAGAAAAACTAGAGTAAAAATAGTATATCTGATTATAGTGACAAAGTTAAATTTATGATACTGCTGATTTAGGAGCTCCTAGATCGAATAAGATTCATTTAAATCAATGTCTGGGTAATATACCGAGGGCTACATACAAGAATCTGTAAGCTAAATAATTACCTTAAAAGCTGATTTCAATTTAAGTTTTAACAGCCCCAACACATCTGGTATCTCCTACCTATAGTGGAAGTTTTCTAGCCAATATTTGACTGATTAACAATGAACCAAAAGATTATTTACCTCTCTTATAACGTGCATAAAAAATGAAGAATTGCTGACTTCAAAAATACAACCCTCAAAGTTTCTGAGTAATTATATAATTAGCACGATGCTACATCTTTCTCAATTTCTCAAATGATACCAATAAAAAAAGCGCAGTTTTGTTCGTTTGTTTGTTTTTTGAGACGAAGTTTCACTCTTGTTACCCAGGCTGGAGAAAAAAAAGGGCAGTTTTAAAGTTATTTATTGCATTTATTTGAAGAAACGTTAAATTTGACTTAACTCACTTTAGATAACAATCTCTTCCAGAGTTTGGGCACTATAAGAGTGTTTCTTCTTGACTTTGATTTCAAATTGGTTATCTGTTATACAAATGCACCTCCACCTCTAAGTATTTCTCACTAATTGGTGGCCATTTTACTCATAGATATACACTATGAGGAAAAATGTATTTCAAAAGATGATGTCTGTGTTAGGTAGAGGGTTGCCTTGGTTTTACCCTAATTTTAAAAATTTATGAGTATGTAAGCATTTAAACAAAAATGTTTCTTTTGTTAAGATCAGTTAAATCTTAATTACTTATGAAGATTAACTGGAACTACATGATACCATTTAGCTAGATTTCCTTTCACTTGCATCCAGATTTACCTTTGATTTTATGGAAATGGTGAAAATAACTGCAGTGGTAAAGTGGCAGCTGTAAGTGTTGCCTGTCTTGCATACTCCCTGAAAGCATTACTATTCATTAAAATAACCTTCACTTTGTAGTAACACTCAAGCTGTAAACAGTCAACTTAGATTCTGGAGAACACACAGCACAAAAAGTAAAGAAATGTCTGTCTTTGCAAAGTAATTTGTCGAGTTGAAGATTATTGTTTTTCATCATGGTGACCCTGACTTGGCTGGCTGGGTGCATATACAGATTAAGATTAATGCAGTTATTCCTTGGCTAAGGTCTGCCTCTTTCAGGGCACATTCTCCCTAATGACATGATTGATAGGCAGTCCCAAATCCAGAGAGGAACTCATTAATCATAGCATTGACTGAATCCAATCATTTGCTTCACCTGCACAGTGATGGACAGGAAAGGATACAATTCAGGAGCTGACACTGAGATACTTCTTTGTCAGAGGGCCTCAACTTTTTCAATGTCAGCCTCAACAAAACCTGACAAGAAATTTTTTTTGCAACCTGTATGCAGCTTCAAAAAGATATCTGCAAACTTATTTTATTGTGAAAAGGTCTTTAAAAAAAAACAAGCAATTTACTCTAGCTAATGAATATCTCTAAGTCAAAGTAGGATTTTCCTTATTTTTTAGCAGGGCTATATGATCTTAAAGTTCCTCCCTTTTTTAAGGATGTTTCGAAGCTACATGTGGAAGCAATATCAAAGTTAATGTCCAGCAGCTGGGTGTCATTTGGTTCAGTCTTCAGGTCAGCGGCACTGACGCTTAGCAGAACTAATTTTACAATCATGGCAAAATCTCAGTAATGAACTGCAGTGTACAGCTGATTACACCACAGTAAATTTTATTTAGTCTTGGAAACAGTGGAAAACCATGAATTTTCTTAACACTTATGTTGCAAAGTGTAGCATGATCCCAATAGCAATTATAACAAGAAAATTAGTGTGGAATACATGTGTACATTGAATATCATATTTTTTGCACTGATATAGTTTGAAGTGTTTAAATTCTTTTTGTCATCCATTATTACCACGTAAATAATATTCTAAATCAACAATAGGCATATAGATCCTTCTAAAAGAATTGTTTTAGAACTGTATCTTGCACATTCCTGGTGTGGTGATTGTAGACTCTTTTTCTGGAAGAATAATCAGGATAGCGATTTTTGCTAAGTATCTGTTACAGAAAGAAACAGGACTGGGGGACATATTTTTAAAAGGCAACAAGTGTCAAAGGCCAATTTAAAATTCCCAGCAGTAAGCACACCTCCAAGAAGCACCCAGCCTATATTCAGCGTAATAGGCTCCCCCTTTTGACACTTTAATTAGTCTTCAATGTGTTCTACAACAGGTGTAAAGAGGAATCTACAAAAGACAAAATACCAAAGCTATTTCAGGCATCAAAGATACTTTATATCCACAAAGAGAAAATACAAATTATTTCTTACATGTTCTTAAAAAGAAATGTTTTGTTTTCATCTCATGATTATAGCAATTTCAACAATTGCAGTAATGGGAAAATGTTTTATAGATAGGAGTACAAATGCAATAAAGACATGTTTTAGAAGAAACGACTCAATTTTTAAAAATGCTTTCAGGTGCTTAATTCTACGGTGCTGTTTATGTGAGTGGCAGCAGTTTGGGAAGGCTTACCTATTTCAGTAAAGTCTTTATGGATGCTTTGAATCTGAGATTTACATCAACTCTCCACACTCAATCTCCGTAATTACTCTCCATCTTTACAATTCTTCACTACTGATATGTATATGCTTTTTTTTGTATTTAGTGCATTTATGACAATGGAGAAAAGCGAGGCCTCACAAGAAGGAGATATTGCTCTTGAACTGACTGAGCAGAAAATAAACACGATGGTCCTGGATCTCTGCCACAAACCAGGTGGCAGTGAGTACCTGAGGCAAATTTATCACATCATGCAGCTCAATGAGGTAGGGAAACAGCCTTTTTACCGAGCAATTAGGTGTTTACTGGCCTGAGGCAGCGTCTGCTGGCAGCTAAGGGTTAGTCAAGGAGGTGATAATACTTCTTAAAGTCAATACCAAACTCAATATTGCATTATTAATAGAATCTATTCAGCCCCGGCTGTTCTGCATTTGTACAGAAAAAGCTTCACTGAAACAATGTAGATTTTATTTATATAGTTTAAACAATAACACGGCTCATAAACTCAGTTCAGTTCTGAATTGTAGACTAGAGGTGTAGTTTGGGAATTGTGTGTTTGTGACTGTTAAGGTGATGTTAAAATCTGGTATTTGTAAAATGAGTTTTCTGAAGAGAGACTTAGCTCTTTTCCTGTAGACATCATGCTTGTGTTAGTGAAGTTGGAGATTTCTTCTTTAATGAAAAAACTTAAGAAGAATATTGAACTATATCCAGGAGCAACCAGATTAGCCTAGGAAAATTCATTAATACAGACACTGGTTGAACCAATGTTATGCCTTTCTAACTCTTTGCTCAGGTAAGCCTCTGACCTTGCATGTTTTTGGCTGTTTTAGTGAAAGTGTAAATAGCACGTTATCTCACCTATTTACTTGAAACAAAGTTCTCTAACTTAATCAGGTTTTGAATTTGATCTTATGTGTCTGAATTAGAATGTGGCATCTAATTGTGTTTATATTTGTAAACATGTGAATATAATTTTTGGAATGGTAAAAATTGTATAATGTATATATATAGTGTTTTCCTTTTATCTCAATAATGTCGGCCTTTGTAACCATACATTTTCAAGGAATAAATTAAATTCGACATCATTTTACAGCGTGTTTACATATATGTTTTACCCACCATTAGCTATCTGAAAGTTACCTCAAGTAAATCTTGTTTCCTGGATTTCATAGAGCTAATCAAACAGTCAATAAACAGGTGATATTAACAGTATAATCCATGATGGCCTCAGAAGGATGTAAAAAATTTGTAGCTATGAGATATAACTCTGTCCTTATGGCACCAGAGTTCAGTGTGTAATTATTATAAAGTAACACAACCCATTCGCTCTTGTCAGTGATCCCTCATAGCTTGCTTAGGGTTTCTATTTGGGAAACTGTTCACGCTGGCAAACTGAAAGACCTCGATTGTAAAGTGATGCTTCTCATTGGTATGTCCACCTGGCCACTCAGATTGGCCAAAGTCATTGTGGCGACTACTGAGGAACAGATGTTGCAGTGTGGTTACCCCCATATCCTTAGTTAAGCAGTGTTTTTTGTTTGTTTGTTTGTTTGTTTTGTTTTGTTTTGTTTTGAGACGGAGTTTCGCTCTTGTTACCCAGGCTGGAGTGCAATGGCGTGATCTCGGCTCACCGCAACCTCCGCCTCCTGGGTTCAGGCAATTCTCCTGCCTCAGCCTCCTAAGTAGCTCGGATTACAGGCATGTGCCACCATGCCCAGCTACTTTTTTTTTGTATTTTTAGTAGAGACGGGGTTTCACCATATTGACCAGGACGGTCTCGATCTCTTGACCTCGTGATCCACCCGCCTCGGCCTCCCAAAGTGCTGGGATTACAGGCTTGAGCCACCGTGCCCAGCAGTTAAGCAGTGTTACAATTAGCTCTGAGGATGGTAAAGTTGGTATGAATTGCCAAACTGATAGACTAGTCCTATTTTTAAAGGTGCATATTAAAAAGCTCAATAATCACCAATAAGCAAGATCATCCAAAATTGAACTGGATATTTATTGGCCACCAGTCATCTGGTTATACTCTGGAAAGCCAAAGGCTGTACTTCCCCCATAGAGCTCATATAACTCAGAGGTAGTGGTTCTGAAGAGGATACCATGAGATATACACTAGGGTATCACCACATTTTGCTCAGTGTTATGATTTCTCTTGTAACAACTGTATATATTTACTGTTATAGTAATGTCTATCAAATGGGATATAGAGCTAAGTATTTGATGTTTTACTGGGCTGAATGAAACATGGCACTGCAAGGTAAAAGGCATAATGTTACGTGAGGCTAGAAGCAAAGAAAGAACTTTGCCTTGTAGTTATTACAAAAACACAGGCAATAAACCCAACCAACATCAGCATGACTATGTGACTAGTATAGTACTTATGACTGCTTTTCTACTATGAAGTATTGCTATGCTGTAAGTGACATTGCATTGTGATGTTTGCTCATTTCAATAGTAGTGCTATGAGTCTTCAGCACCTTCAGATGTGCTGCTAAATATTTCTCAAGACTGTAATGTTACTAGTGAAGCATTTATAGGTACAGGCCTAGCTGAGGGGAAGAATGGGTATGCCATTCATAGAGACAAATAAGTTATCAGGGAAAATGGGGTTAAAGATGCTTTGTCTTTGAGATAAAGATAAGATGTCCAAGCAAAAATGTCTAATTATAATTAAAGCCCTGACAATAATGTTGTGTCACATCTCTTGAACCTGGTGACATCCCCTGTTGACTCCAATGGGGATGTCACCAGGTTCAAGAGACTGAAGAGACTTTGTGCTGGCAAACAAGATATGGGGTTTTATTGGGAGATTATACACAGCGAAGAGAGTCCCATGGTAGTGGGCTGGGCAGGAAAACCACAACCACTTGCAAGAGGCATGCAGTTTATATAGTATTTTCATTTAACACCCTCAACCTAGGAACCTCCTCCTGAAAACCTTCATTTAACCCCAAACAGAGGGCCTCAATTCCCTGTATGGCTCCAGTACCATGGGATGGGCCCGGTTCCTCACAGATAAAGAATGGATCTCAGGTTGGCCCCTCTGAGATTCCTTAGCTTAGGACTCTGAAAACACATTCAAGTGTGTCTGCCATACAAGGTCATTCTCAGGTTATGATCAAGTAATCACTGTCAGGTGTATATACCATACACATGGGCACAAATGAGAGCAAACGTGCATATAGATTTGGTCTGTATGAGTGTGGTAGTTGAGGTCATCAGACTGACAAAGCTCTTCAGTGAAGAGAAATGGAAAAATGATGAATAGAGGAGTAAGCTTTGATATAAATGTACAGGTAATGTGTTAAAGAAAGAATGGAAATCTTCTAAAGATATGGCCCAATTAGTGGTGAATGTGATTAAAGCAGTGTCACAGTTAAAGAATCTGAGGTTTTTTTTTTTTTTTTTTTTTTTTTTTGGAGACAGAGTTTTGCTCTTGTTGCCCAGTCTGGAGTGCAATGGCGCGATCTCGGCTCACCGCAACCTCCGCCTCCTGGGCTCAGGCAATTCTCTTGCCTCAGCCTCCTGAGTAGCTGGGATTACAGGCACATGCCACCATGCCCAGCTGATTTTTTGTGTTTTTAGTAGTGACGGGGTTTCACCATGTTGACCAGGATGGTCTCGATCTCTTGACCTCGTGATCCACCCGCCTCAGCCTCCCAAAGTGCTGGGATTACAGGCTTGAGCCACCGCGCCCGGCGAATCTGAGGTTTTTAAGAAGGGTTACTGATGAGTGTCAGTGCAGTACCCAGAAAGATCAACAAAGGAGAAAATTCCATTTTCTTCACAATTTACAACAGAGCTGGTGGTCTTTTTTGAATAGTGGAAATAGTCAAAATGTAGTTACATATGGTGAAATCAGCTAAGACAGATAGTTATTAACCAAAACAAAGTATTTTTGTCAATGAAGAAAGTATTCCTTTTAAAAATTATATTTGTGTAAATTATAATGGAGAAAAGTTTTGTTTATGTTCAATAATCTGAATCTAGACATAAAGTTATTTTCTGATGGCTTTATCATTAACAATATTTAGTAAGAGTCCATGTGTGACCCTCTATCAGACACTAAAGAATTACTCTTTCTAAAGAGATATGGTCTACAAAAGGGGTCCCCAACTCCTGGGCCACAGACCTCTACCAGTTGGTGGCCTGTTAGGAACTGGGCCATACAGCAGGAGGTGAGTGGCGGGACCACCTGAGTTCTGTCTACTGTCATATCAGCAGCGGCATTACTTTCTAATAGGAGTATGAACCCTATCATGAACTGGGCATTTGAGGGATTTAGGTTCTGAGAATCTAATGCCTGATGATCTGAGGTGGAATGGTTTCATCCCAAATCCATATTCCACCTCCCCCCGTCCATTTCCATGGGACACTTGTCTTCCCGGAAACTGGTCCCTGGTGCCAAAAAGATTGGGGACTGCTGCTCTATAACAAGTTCAGGAAATAACTATGATTGTTAACTTCAGCGGTGGTTTATTTCGATTTTTAGGGTTTTATAATCTAAATTTCCCCTCACAATTAACACAGTGGGCATTCATAAAGTTATAGAGGCACAGAAAAAAGCACAGTGTACTGAAACTAGAAAAAAGTGGCTCCTCACCACAGCTCTACCTCTCACCTCTGTGTGATCTCAAGATTTTCCCTTGATCTTTCAGCGCCACCATTAAGTCTGACATACGGCTAGAGTTTCTCAACTTTCCTGTGCCTACAGATCTACTGGAATTTTTTTTTTATTATTATTATTTTCAGATGGAGTCTCTCTGTTGCCCAGGCTGGAGTACAGTGGCATGATCTCTGCTCACTACAACCTCTGCCTCCTGGGTTCAAGTGATTGTCCTGCCTCAGCCTCCCAAGTAGCTGGAATTACAGGCTCCTGCCACAACACCTGGCTAATTTTTGTATTTTTAGTAGAGACAGGGTTTCAGAATGTTGGCCAGCCTGGTCTGGAACTCCTAACCTCAGATGATCTGCCCACGTTGGTCTCCCAAAGGGCTGGGATTACAGGTGTGAGCCACTGCGCCCAGCTTGGAATTCTTGTTAACAGCCAGGTTTTGATTCAATAGGGTCCAAGATTCTACTTTTCTTTTCTTCTTCTTCTTCTTCTTCTTTTTTTTTTTTTTTTTTTTTTTTTTGAGACAGAGTCTTGCCCTGTCGCCTAGGCTAGAGTGCAGTGGCATGATCTCAGCTCACTACAGCCTCTGCCTCCCGAGTTCAAGTGATTCTCCTGCCTCAACCTCCCAAGTAGCTGGAATTACAGGTGCTTGCCATAACACCTGGTTAATTTTTGTATTTTTAGTAGAAACAGGGTTTCACCATGTTGGCCAGGCTGGTCTCAAACTGCTGACCTTGTGATCCACCTATCTTGCCCTCCCAAAGTGTTGGGATTACAGGAATGAGCCACTGCGCCTGACTAAGATTCTGCTTTTCTAACAAGCTCCCAGGTGAGGCTTAACTCTGATTCAGTGCCCCAGACTTTGAGTAGTACAGGTGTTCTGGATGACGTCTGAATAACTTTCGGCACTAACATTATGAACTTCATTCTAACCCTAACCTTGAAGAAAAAAATTACATTGTGACACACTAAACATCACAAGAACATTTATATATTTTTTAAATCTATTAGATGACTTATTTATTAATAGTAAGCATTTATTAGTTGATGGGAGACTTTTAGTCATTTTAATTTGTCATCTTCCAGAAAAAGTTCCATAAAGTACATTAGGATTGTTCACCTTATTTATTTATGGGTGGAAAATGAAATATAATGTTGTAGATTGGCTTTTTGCCCAGGCCTGCACTGGCAGTTGGGGGCTTATCATGACACATTTTGAGCTTCTATTGAACATTGATATTTTTCAGTCCATGGAATGGAAATAAAGTTTAGGAGCTTGCATTATAATTAATTCTGCATTGAATGAGACTGCTTGCAGCAAAATATCAGAATATTCAGTGCTCTGATGAGCCTGGAGTAGTTAACAACTACACTTAATGAGTGGATGAGCAATCTTGTACTGTGAATAATCATGTAGCTGCGTTAAGTTTTGGTAACCAGACAAGTTAATATGTGAACCAGTGACAAGACAATACCTGTTAAAAAGGTCCTGATATATCAATCATACATTCATTATATGAGTTTGGTAAATGGTTTCCTAATCAATACTATATATTAAATAAACCTATTTTTGATGGGTTTATTGCAATGCTGACTGGTGCTTGCTATGTATCTTCCGAAAATGTATTCTTCCCTGAGGCACATAATACACTGTAATCTAGCAAATGTGCTGAAAGGATAAATTTGGATATTGATCAGTTTACTTTTACAGAGAATGTCTGCTTCTCACCATCACAACTTGTAATTTCTTTTCTTTGAAGGAATATTTAAAAGAGCAGCTGTTTTCTATGAATAGTTCAGAGGAAAAGCCATTACCCATCCGACCTTTAAAGACGACCTTGTGGAGTATGGAAGATCAGCCTTCTGCCTTTAACCCTTTTCATGTGTATAAGGCGTTTAGTGAAAACATGCTAGATCAGGTATGTGGAAATTAAATGGTAAATTTAATTTAAATGTGTGGTGTCTTTAAGTAAGAAAAAAATTGCTTTGTGTTTGAATATTTACTCATAAGCTTTTTTTGGTAGGAAGCAAAAGGCCTTGCACATGGTCTGTACAAATTGACTTTTAAAAGTTTCTTTACCTTCTTTTTATTTGTCAACCTGATTGATATGTTTGGTCTGTAAAACTTAACTTTTGGCCAGGTCAGTGTACCATGGGCAGAGGGAACATCTGTTAGGCCATTTCTACAGAAGACTGAAGAAGCAGGCATTTTGTAACATTCCTTTCCTCCCTCTTCACCCCCATGCCCCAATACACACACTCACAAAACACCTTGCAACTTTTACGAATGTATCAGGCAAATTAGAAAATAGTTAAAATTAATTATAAATAGAGCACTGAGCTCCTGGTTTAAGCGGCATGGGGTACATTTTCTTTTTATAACCGTAGACATATTCCCAAATTTAAAATGAATTTGTGAATGATCTTAAGGCCAGGCTATTTGGAATAAAGTCAATGTGATAAACACCACACATTTTTTAATGTCAGATTGTGCCATTGTTTAAGCTGCATGTTTTAGTATATACACTGAAAACATCATCTTTCTGCCAAAGTATTTGAAATCTAAAGTTTCTTTGGCTTTGTGCATTCTTCTGCTGGCTTTCCCCAGAAACCTCTTGATAGACAATTTGAATTAACAGGGCAGAAGAGAAGGATTGCTTGACCTAGAGTTCTGATGAAAATAAGAATTAAAACAATGGCCTAATTCAGCATGCAGATAATATTTTTACCATGCCTGTTACAGCTCTTAGTCTACACTCATCAATACTGTAGTGGAGTAAGACCTTCAAATGCTGACAACCCGGGGCAGAATTCTCCTGCTCTGTGACAGGATCGTAGTGCTCGATTAATCAGCAGGTGACAGGGGATAGCTCTTGTTGGATTTTAAACATCACTCTGGACTCTTGTTATCAAAATGATTTCATTTTAAGGAGTATAAGCATTTATAATACTTTAAATATACTATCTAAATTTGAGTTTATTGGCTCCTTTTTTATGTTGTGCATTACATTGCTCAAAGTATAAATAATTATTGGAGCTGTTAAATTTTCCTTACATCATTTAAATAAATGGCATATTTTATTGAGTTCTGAATTATGAGATTATTTTTCACAGTAATTTTTCTCCTTGGTCTGTTGTGATATTTCTCTTAATTTTCACTTACATATCCTTATAATCTTCCCTTTAAAGCATTTTCTTAACTAAAAAGGTACCGTTAATATCACACTCTAATTAAGTTATATATTATAATTTGATTCTTAGCACTTCCAAGTTTGTTTTTTAATCAAACTTTTGGTTGCTGAAAAGAAAATCAAACTAAAAATTGATGTGATGTATGCAAAAGTTGTCAATTATTTTGCTTTGCTTTTCAAACAGTCTCCTTCTCAGAGAAACTTGTTGGGCAAATGCCATTAACACTTGGAAGAATAACGACTCAAGAAATTGATTTATATTTTTATAAATAATGACTACATCCCCAAATGGATTTATAAATTAATTGCTGTCTTATTGGAATAAAAACCTTCTTCTGTGGACATGATTGATGTTATCTGTCTAAGTCCTTGTTCTGGACCCCCCTCCTTCTTAGTTAGTCTATCACAGCTGGAGCTTTAATTTACTGATCATATTAACTCTGATTAATAACTAACAATAGTGTCTTCTCATTTATCAACAGTCAGCCATCACAAAATGGAACTGGAATTGGACAAACTTGCTGCCAAATTATCTGGGACTGGATAAGATGACCTTCAGTGTGCTGCTCAAAAACAGGTAATAAAACTGGGGATCTTGGAGATCTGGTTGAGGGACAAGACTCTGTGTGTGTGTGTCTGTGTGTGTGTCTGTGTGTGTGTGTGTGTGTGTGTACACATACACATGTTTTACTGGCATACTTTTGGGAAAAGTAAAAACATTTTATCAGCAAGGGAATCTCTTTTACTTTCTTCCTCTCCAGTCTCCCATCTTTTAAAAATATTGTTAAAATTATATGAGTATACTCTCTAAATGCCATTCTCTATAGTGAAAATATGTAAAAGGCAGTAACATTTGTTTCAGAGATGAAATTAGTGGATTTTAGTCTGAATTTTAAATATTGTTGACTTTGTGTATTTAATAGTTCACTATTGTAAACACTGAAAGTTATTAACTTGAACATCATAATAATACTATACCTTTGTTTAAAACAACATAATGAATGTGTACAAAGTGCCAAGCCAAATTAACTAGTCTAATCAGGAAAACATGAAAGTAAAACTGTCATGATTAAATTTTTCACTTTTCAGCCAGTTATGTTGGCACTGTTTTAACGATAGCCACAGTAGCATGTTATTTTACACACACATACACACACCCCCAGTACAATCTAATGAAATGATAATGTGATTTCAGCCTGGGAAGCTACATGTAACTTATTTTGCACAAAAGTATGAACACTTCGTTTTGGATATATTAACATGGTTTTAAAAAAATGTTTAAAGTTTCAGTGAAAACTATAAGGTGTAAACTTTAAAACTTTGGATTTTTAATCAAGTATAATACATTTTCAAAAAAGATATATATATATATATATATATATATATGATTCCCTTTATTGCTTGAGTCATCTGTGTGCTTATAGCTAAGATTGAGAGTTATCATCTAGATGATCTTTGTGATACAGAATGTATTTCCATATCTTTTTGCAAAAATATTGAGTATCTTTTGTTTTTTTTTAAGAAAATCATGACAATAACATAGTAGAATTGTCAAATCATTCTTTAGAAATCTGGATGAATATAAGAAAATATCTTAAGAGAGAGATTGTAGTATTTCCCAGAAGGAAGTTATAGAGGCAGCTTTATTGCCAATGAAAGTTATAGCTTAGATGTGAGGTCACAAAGGTATTTATAATATTTCACCCCTGAATTAAGCTCAACCACCCATCATAGAGAAAATTCAATAACCCAGAAGCTTACTAATCAACACCAGAGCCTTTCCCCAGCAAGCTTACCACCTGGCTGGCAGCAGCCCAGATGTACCGTATTTGTACACAAGCCCCCAGAGGTGTACCCCTACTGTCTCAAAGATGTTTGAAGAGGTGAAAGGTGGGGTTGGTGGAGGAGAGGCCAGGTCCTCCTTTGAATCTGTAGTCACATGATGTTTATACAATATTAAATGTCTGTCTGGAAACAAACTAAGAAAGATAAGTAATTATTTTCTTGCTTGGAAAGTTTTGAGTTTACGTAGATTAACTGTATCATATTTTACTCAATTTATTTTCAGTCATGAATTGCTGCTTCCAATCCATTAAATGGTCCTCTAGGACCAACACATCCCTCAAAACGTATAGCATTTGCTTTTTATAATATTCACCTCTAAGCAAATTTTTGCTTTAAGCAGAATTGCATGTTTTTGTTTTTGTTTAAGGACATTGGATCACTAACTATTAAAGTGCATTTTCCTAAGATCTGTGCATGAGTGGGTGGGAAAAAAGAACTCCTACAAATTTAGTCAGAAACAACAGGTCAAAACAGTTTTCTTGGAAAAGGGTCATAAATTTTTAATAGAAACAGCTAAAATTTCATCTTAATAAGAACCTCAGATTTTTAAAGAATGGTATGAAAATCATTCTACCACAAAGCTACCACACACAAGCTATGATGAACCTAACTGATCCACCTTAGAAGGATGAAAGACACCTGAGGTTTTCAATCTCTTCTCCCACTCTCCCATTTATTTTAAGAATGTTATTTATGAGTTTTGATTAATATTGAACCGGTAAGGAAATTGTTAGTTTCTTGATGGCACCCTCTTGTCTCTCTTATTTAGACTTACCTGAAAATGTTGATGTTTTTTAATAGTACTATGTTGACAAAATGGTTATCTGAAAGAAACATACTTGGAAATGTGACCAGGCCGGGTGCGGTGGCTCACCCCTGTAATGTTAGCACTTTGGGAGGCCAAGGTGATTGGATCACGAGAACAGGATTTCAAGACCGGCCTGGCCAAGATGGTGAAACCCCATCCCTATGAAAAACTCAAAAATTAGCCAGCCGTGCTGATGCTTGCCTAGTAATCCCAGCTACTCAGGAGGCTGAGGCATAGAATTGCTTGATCCCGTGAGGCGGAGGTTGTAGTGAGTCGAGATCACACCACTGCACTTCAGCTTGGGTAACAGAGCAACACTTCATCTCAAAAAAAAAAAAAAAAAAAAAAAAAAAAAAAAAAAAAAAAAAAAAAAAAATTAGGCCATAGGACATTGAGCTTTTAGAATGAGAGATATATATGCCAGCCAACATCTACCAACTATGGTGTTTAGGGTTAGGTGTAGCCAAAGGAAAGAGTTCAGAGCAGGTTAGCGGAATATACTCAGTTTTTTCTCCCAGATTCACAAATTAAATGAGTCACTTGTTCTCTTTTTGCCTCTTTTACTGGTAATATATTTGTAATAGCCTATCTCTATATTATGTTCTAGTGTATGTATGGGGCTGTGTATGTTGTCTGAGAACATAATATTAAAAGAAAAGTGAACTGAAATATACAAGTATGATAACAGTTAAAGAGAAGGAAAAAGAATCCTTTTTATTCACTTTAAATTCCTTTGTGCCTTGTCTTCGGCATTCATATAATAAGCAGACCATCTGTGGAATTAGTCTCCCCATATGCCTAAAGTGTACTAGACCTCCCTTACCCCCCCCCCCCAAATAACATGGAGACTGGAAAGCAGGATTCCTGGGTTCTCAGGCACTTACATTTGACTTTAGATTTCCTTATCTTTAAAATGAAATAATAATAATTGTAAAGCTACTTCATGGAGATTGTTGACATGGTCAAGAGTGCTAAAGTATTTGGAAGTGTTTTTGAAAGCTGATAACATGATAGAGTCATCTCTCAGTATCCATTCGGGATTGGTCCCAAGACCTTCTCAGTATACTAAATTCTGCAGATGCCAAGTCCGTGATATAAAATGGTGTCATATTTGCATATAACCTATGCATATCCTCCCATGTACTTTAAATCATTTCTAGATGACTTATAATACCTAATGCAATTCTCACACATCAGTTTATTTGTGTGGATTCAGTGTAATACTTTGCATGCAACAAATTCAAGTTTTGCTTTTTGGAACTTGGTGGAATGTTTTTTCCCAAAATATTTTATGTCTGAGGTTGTTTTAATTCATGGATGCAGAACCTACAGATACAGAGGCCCCACTGTACATATTCACAAAAGTAGTAACATAGCAGCAGTGTTGGTATCTAGTCAGGTAAGGAAACTGTAAAGTCCATTAAGGATTAGTAGAAAGTTGTAAGATTGAACACTCAGACCACTCAGGTTATGTGGACTCCAGGCCTAAACTAATAGTGAGGATCAGAACAAGTATCAGATCAGAAACCAGGCAATGGGCCCATAGGTCTGGAAGAAAAACAGAAAATGAGCAAGAAAGAAAGTCAAAAAGCCAAGTTAACAACTCAGGTAATAAAGACTCAAGAGATAAAGACTTGAAGGACTGTTCAGACACAAAAAAGAGATCTGTGGGGCCACAAAAGTGTTGATATCTGAGTCAACACTGGCCTTTGTTTCATAGGCTGGTCCTGTGCCAACTCCAAAGTTAGAACAAATCTTGAAGCAGCTGCCTGAGTCCTTGGCAAAAATATGTTCTTCACTGCATATCTGACCTCATCTCAAAACATCTCCTTCCAATTCATGATGCTCTAAATAGAATGCTTTCTTTATGTTCTTTGGATTTTCTAAACGCTTTCCTGCTTCAGGGTCTTGGTACAGGTACTTGCAGTTCCCTCAGCTCTTCAAATGGCTGGCACCGTCTTGTCCATCTGAGACAAACGTTACCTCCTAAGGAGACTTTTCTATCTCACCGACCTAAAGGGATCCTCCAGGCTACCCTAGCATTCTACTCTACTGTGTTTTCTTGAGTTATTGCTATCTGAAATATTTGTTTCTGGTTATTGATTGTCTTTTGATCTTACCCTCTGTGGTAGAATGTAAACTCCATGAGAATAGCACTTTGTTTGCCTTATCCCAGTGATGTCTTCAGTACCTAGAACAGCCCTTGAACACAGAGCAAGTTCTAAGTAGTGTCTGTTGAATTAATTAATTAAAAAAATGAGGAATAAGAATGTAGAGAAAATAAACACCTCCTGACAGATGAGCACAGGGTATGTATTCTTATGTGATGTTTAATTAATAGACATGTAGGCTTAAGAATATTTGCTGGAAAGTCTGAAGTAAAAAAAAAAAACTATATGCATATTAATTCTCTTCCTTTTCCAAATGTGGGTGAAAGTCAGGTTATTTAAGCTGTGTGTGTTTAAAATAATATGTTGTAACAGACACAAAAAGAATAAAATACCTAGGAATACAGCTAACCATGGATGTGAAACATCTCTACAACAAGAATTACAAGCCACTGCTCAAGGAAATCAAAGATGACAAAAGCAAATGGAAATATTTCATGCTCATGGATAGGAATGATCAGTATTGCTAAAATGGCCATACTGCCCAAAGTAATTTACAGATTCAATGCTATTCCTATCAAACTACCGATAACATTCTTCATATAATTAGTTATTTTCAAATTCACATGGAACAAAAAAAGAGTCCGAATATCAAAGGCAATCCTAAGCAAAAAGAACAAAGGTGGAGGTATCATGTTACCTGACTTCAAGTTATACTACAAGGCTACAGTAACCAAAACAGCATGGTATGGTACAAAAACAGACAGGAAGACCAATGGAATAGAATAGTGAGCCTAGAAATAATGATACAGAGCT